ATCTGAGGTCATGCATTGAAGCAAAGAAATTATTTTAATCTGTCTATTTTATTACAGCATTCAAAGTATGGGCATGTTTGTGAATTATACACTGGCTTCCATCTGAATTATACAAGACTAATGCCAAAAGGGTGAGCTTCATTCATTCACTGAACAAAGGAGCGCTGAGTACTTATGACATTCCAAGATCTCTCTGGGTACCCAGAATACACTTAAAACAAGGAAAATCCCCACCCGCTCTATTCAAATGACTCTTTTCCCTATAGCATATGAGAGCCAACCTGGAGAACACTGTGGTAAGAAAAGGATTAACTTGTCCCTGGCCTCACAGATACAAAGGAAAAGACCCAGTCAATACATGGGCTTCAAATTCCAGGTGGAGCTGAGTATGGTGGCTTACGTCTGTAATCCCAGCACTTGAGAGGTGGAGGCAAGAAGATCATTGGGAGTTCAAGACCAACGTGAACTACAAAGTGAGCTCAAAGCCAGCCTGAGCTGCACAGCAAGACCCTATCTAAAAAACTTAAAAAAAAAAAAAATCCATTTGGGTGAAATGTAAGTTCTCTTTGCATCCAGCACATGAAAGACAAGCCCACTGAAAGACCTATGTAAGCCCCTAGAAAAGTCAGTGTCCCCTGCTGCTACCTTTATCTACACAAATTCATGTTCCCTTAGTAGATGATCTTAAGTAAAAGGAAGGAAACAGCTACAAGTGATGAGGGCTAGCAATTCAAGGGGCATACAAAGAAAGAAACCATATCACACTGTCAAGTGTAGTGGCATTAACAGTTCCCAGAAAGTACAGTTTAGCATCTGATGAATAAACCATTTTGGGTTTCATAGCATTCTTCCATGAAGAGTTCATTGAGAAACACTACATTCCATGAACAAAGAGTACTGTATTGTTTGTTTTCAAGGTGCCACTTATCTTTTGAGAGCATACAGCTAATATTTTGCCTGCGGTACCCAAAAGGCAGGTGTAAGAAGAGCAAACATTCTTCCAGGTCTAAAAATAACAGCATACTGTAACTTGAAAAGCAACTCCTAACATACCAAAAGAAAGAGATCAGTAGATTCTATTTAAAATAGAGCTTCCTCAGCTCCAAAGCGGCTTCAAGCATACCACTGAGCAAAATCAGATCAAATGCTTCCCAGAAGTACCCAAGTGATTGTCCCTTCTGCCAAATGCTTTTCTTTGGGGGGTGGGGGAAGAATACGAAGATGAAAAGAAAAATAAAAGCATATTTTGTCAAAAAGATAAATCTTACTACCTTAGTCTTATAAAGTGTCTGCAACACTTTATAATTCTATCATCAACCATTATATTTCTGATCCTTACAGCAACTTTAAGTGGCAGAGATGGGCTGAATGGCATAACCATTCCACAGATGAGAACACGGGGCTGTGCTATCGAGACGTGCGTGTAGCTCACTACACAAGGGCTCCCAGGCATGCAAGCCAGTGGGCACCGGGCCACCCAGGAAAAGGATCATCCTTTTCTGTCTTGCATCAATAGTTCCATTTACTTCCTGCAAGCACCATGCACTGTAAGCTCGCGGGGCAGAGCCCCTAAGTGACTTTTCACTTTTGCCAAGGACACAGCACAGGCAGGTGAAAAGCACTTCTCAGTCACCCAACCGACCAGTAAGCACACAGTGACTGAAATACAAAACTACTGATTCTTGGTTCTTGGCTTCAAGTAACAGAGTGAAAACTCACAGCAAACAGATGGACTGATAATGTGTAGCCACGGAGTTCCTCCCAGGCAGTCTCTTTGGGAAGGACTGCATTAGCAACGAATACAGAGGATGGAAGCATAGTGTCTTCCATGTTGTCAACACTGTCCCATTGTTAAGATATTTAGACAAAAGTGTATCCCCTATTTCTTCAGCCCTCCCTCCTAAAATGCCCTCAGTTCTCACTCACTATGACCCCAGCCTTTGGCTAAGGACCTGATAAAAATGACACAAGACCCCACACATCTGCCATCTCGGGCACTCACAGTAAGGCAGGACAATCGCGAGTGTGTGGTCAGCCTACACGAGGCGAGGAAGCTCGGGCGGGGGAGGGGAGAAGACAGACAGGAAGAAAGAGGGATGGAAGGGAAGGATGAAAGGGATTAAAGGAGAAAAGGAAGGGTGAAAGGTGAGGGTATGATACCAGGTCCTAATTGAAAGCAAAACCTAAATTCCCGGAACTATCCCATGCAGCACCAATGAATAAATAAATAACTCAGGGCCACCCAGATAGCTCAGCAGATTAAAGTGCCTGCTTAGGGAGAGGCAGGGACTGGGATTCAATCCCTGGCATGCCGGTCCCGCCCCCGGGACACAAAGAGATGGTGACTGAGACTGGGCGAGGTGGCGGGCTCCTGTAATCCCAGTGCTTGGGAGGCTGAAAAACAAGAGGATCACTATAAGTCTGATCTATGTAGTGAGACCCTGTAGACCCAGTAAATACAAAAATAATAATTCAATCACACGAGCTCAGTCAACCCATAGAATTGTGTGAACCAAAAGCCTGTCATGGACTGGGGAGATAGCTCAGTAGAATAAATGCTTGCCTGGCCAGCACAGAGTTCTGAGTTCAATCCCCGGTAACACACACACACACACACACACACACACACACACACACACACACACAAAGCCTATCATGATTTAAGTCACTTACTTTTGGAGCAATCTGCTACATGCCAATGGATAACTGAAACATTCTGTGTTCTCACCCTAACACACATCAAAGCTGTTCCTCTGTATTCGACACAGTGGATCCACTCAATGAGAAGACTTCAAGACATCACACAAAAGAGAGTGAGACTGGACAAAGAACACGGCAGAGTTGACTCTGAAAGATTTTACCCCCTCAATTATCATCTGAGCACATATGATGCACAAAGCAGCAGAGCTTAGTGTAAGGAGGGAATGAAATGTGTATAAAATTGACTGCCTAGCCCTGGCAGATGGTCATGGAGGCCGAGACACAGTGGGCCTTGGATTCTGAGAAAGCAGAGATTGCCTCTCCCTGACAACAATCCAGAAAAGCTTTCCAGAAGAGCGATGCTGCCATAGTACAAATGCTAAATGCCTCTAAAGGCTCATAAGTCAAAGCCAAGTCCCAGGGTAGCATTACTGGAGCCTTTGGGAGGTAGCACCTTGTAGGAGGTCCACAGGTCACGGGGGGTGTGATCTGGAAGGGGACTGCTTGATACTCATCCTCTTCTCACTCTTCTTTTCTCCCAGGTCCAATGTAAGGTGTTCTGGCTCCACTATGTGTTCTCACCATTCTGTGCTTCCTTACCACAGGCCCAAAGCAACAAGGCCAGTTTACCATGGATCCAAAGCTATGAGCCAAAACAAACTCTCTTTGCAAGATGAAAAGGAGACTGTTGTAGTTCACATCCAGGTGTCCCCCTAAAGTATCATGGGATCATAGGCAGGGCCTTTGCAACGTAACTTAGTTATTGGGGCAGTAGAGCTAACTTGCTGCTAGGAAGTGGGGCCCGTCACACCAGATTACCTCCCTCCCCGGCTGCTCTCGGGCCCCTGCTTGCCCACCACCATGAGGGCAGCAGCTGTCCTCCACCATCCTCTCTGCCATGCTGCTCTGCTTGCAGCCAGCTAACTACAGACAGAGGCATGAACTAAATACCTCTCCTTCATTAAGTTTTGGATGTTGGGTATTTTGAGCCAGCAGCAAAGGAAGTAACTAAAGCAATAGTATTTCATTTTCACAATGCAAAGGTAAGACAAGTGGCCTTGGAGAATCTACTACAGTCCAAACTGCAGTGTGCAAACAAGCAGTGGGCACTGGCTATTCTTTTTATAATTCCTAACTTATTCTTTCCATAGTATATTCCCAAAAAAAAAAAAAAGAAAGAAAGAAAGAAAGAAAGAAAGAAAGAAAGAAAGAAAAGACGGCCACAGAAACAGCATGTTAACAGCATCCTACCCACTGCTCTATGACCTGGGTCTCCATCTGTGTCACCACCTATAATAGAGGCCAAGATTTATGAAGAAGGGGGGAGGGAGAGAAGGAGAGGGAGAGAGAGAAAGAAAGAGAAGAAATTTCATTCTCCCAAACCCTCTCTTCATTTACTTCTGGGTTGCTTGTATCTTACTGCCCAGTAGTGGCTGGCCCCTACATATTACAGCTTTTTCAGATCTTGCTCAAGAATATAAAATCTGCCCCATACCTGTAATCCCAGTACTTTTCAAGGTTGAAGCTAGAAGGAAAAAAGTTCCAACACGGTAATTTACCAAGATCCTGACTCCAAATTAAGATAAAAATAGGGTCAGGCAGATAGCTCAGCAGATTAATGCGCCTGCTTAAGCAAATGCAGGGACCAGCAATCCCCAGTGTGCCTGCCCCACCCCCGTGGCGTGCTGAGACAGCGATTAAGACTGGGCGTGGTGGCGCGCGCCTGTAATCCCAGCGCTTGGGAGGCTGAAAACAGAAGGATCACTATGAGTCCGATCTGTGTTGTGAGACCCTGTAGACCCTGTACTAAATACATTTAAAAATAAAAATAAAAAAACATACTCCTTGTTCCTGTGCGCACCAGACACCCCTAAGGAGCAAACCTTGGGCTGAAAGAGGGCCGCTGATATTATGGATGGGGTTCTCAATCTCAATAGTACAAACAATAACATTCCATCGGTCACTGGGGTCAGCGCTTTACATTCAGCATCTCTTTTGGATCCTTACAGCCCTTTGTTGGATTCATTGTCATTACAGCCCCATTTTACGGATTACAACCTGATGGCGCCCGCCCCAGGTCCCCCAGTTGTCCAGTAACAGTAAAATCAGAATCAGCGGGAGAAGAGCAAGCCGTGAGAACCCATCCACAGCCGCCGGCTTGCAGGGGGTCGCGGGGAGCTGCTGCTAGCCCGAGGGGACCCTCCCTCCGCGGGTGAAGCCCGGGGACCGCGCTGCCCCTTCCTTCAGGGCAGGCTCCTTCCAGGAAGCCCGCCTCTAAGCGCGGGCAGAGTCGGGGGTACCTTCCGGAGGAAGCTGGCGACCACCTGCTCGAAGGGGTACTTGTACACCTGGTGCAAGTCCACCGAGACGCCCATCCCCGCGCCCGCCGCGCCTGCTCGAGCTCCGGGATCCGATCCGCTGAAAAGCGGGCGTCCTCAGCCCGGCCGCCTAGGGGGCGGGGGCTTTTCCGCTCCTTTTTCAAACTTTGCAAACTTTATTGTCCACGAGGAAAGACAGACAGGCGGTGGCGCCCGCCGAAGCCCCAGAGCTCCGCCCCGCAGCGGTCGCGGTCTGGGTCCCATCCCGCCAGGCCACGCCCCGAGCCCGTAGTCGCCACACCCTGCGGCCTTGGGACCTCGCGTCAGCCTTTCCATCAGCACTGCCCCAATCGTAAAGTAATCGTGCGCTGGTGCTGACAGCACTCGATTTAAAAATGTGTTAACTACGGCCCTTAAACTTTAGGGGGTAACATGACCCTCCTCAGTGTTGCTTAGCCTGGTGTAACAGAAGCCAGCAAGTCATTGCTCACAGAACCAGAACAGCTGCGTGGGGATTGGGGCTTAGGCTTTTGGTGCAATGAAAATCGCTCACTCCCAGGAGTGTCTAAGAATTAGAGAACCTGGCTTTCCAACTCTGCAGGAAAGTTTTCTTTCCTCACTGGAGATTAAACAGAGGCTAAAGAGCAAAAGGATACAGAAAGAATTTTGCATATTCCAAATTTTAATTTTTTTTTTCAGCTGCGGCCGGTGCCGCAGAGAAACAGAAATGGGGGGGGGGGGTCTTATTCACTCTGAAGACGGAAAACTACAGGCAGGTAGATGAGGAAACCTCGGACTTGAGACCAGGAGCCTGAGACTTTTGCTAAGGGCAGAGTTTGAGAGGCAGGCTCAGTGACACACAAGGAGCTGATCGGAGTCTCCCTCCTGTGCACAGGAAAGGTAAAAGGAAGTTGTATCCAGGGCTGGAGTGGGGAAGGAGGAAGTCGTCACTGGGAAGATGACTGTTGTTTGGGGGATTTCAGCCTTGTGAATCAGGGCTATGATAACCTAGCAGCCTATACTCAGGCCAGAACCTATCAACTATCACTGAAGATATTACCACAGGAGCAAGTTGATCCATTCTTTCAGGGAGTTACCCAGCGTGTTTCTCAAGCACCTTGGTAGGCACTGTGGTTTCAGCAGTGACTTAAACTCGATCCCTGCCACCCCCTAGAAGGAATACACCAGGCGGCTTATCACCAGTGTATGAGGCAGGGAAGTAAAGAGGATGGGGTGACTCACAGGACAAGGGCCGTGGTTTTAGCTAGCCTGAACACAGACGTTCTCCAGGTACTACCCTATACATTCCCCTTGCTAGGAAGCCAAGTCAGAGAATCTGACAAAATCCCCACCTTGGGTAAGTCTCCTCTTTAAGAGTCACCCAAACAACTGAAAAAGACTGCAGGAAAATAGTACACCCATCATGACAGGTCTTTTTTTTAAGGTTTATTTATTTATTTGGTACAGGGTCTTGCTATGCACTTTGGATTCACTGTGGTCCTCCTGTCTTAGCCTCCAGCTGAGATTAAAGGCACACACTACCACGCCCACTCTCAGGGGGCAGAACATCATAGGGCCAGCATTGCATGCAGTAGGGATCAAACCCGGGTTCTTGGGCTTACTGGCAGGCACTTAGACCACCAAGCTATCTCGCTGGCCCTGACAGGTCACTTTTCAATTCATAACCACTAACCTCAAGAGGCCTTTTAATGGTGCCAGACCACTGCTCAACTAAAATTCTAAGTTTCTCTTATCTACCTATTCTCCCCACGCTGTTCTCACCTCAAAACTCCAACACCTCCTTTCTCAACACCTCCTCAGTCTCAAGTGACTACCTTGCTTTCTTCTTCACTTAGTAGGTAGAAAACATTTCTTCACTGCACATCAAAGGCCCTGCCTTCCCTTCAGGTCCTCTGAGTGAATTGTTAGTCCTTAGCGTGGGACAGTCTTTATACTTGCCTGCGCAGTCCTCAGGTGAGCTGACAAATGTTTAACAAGCACTCCTCCTTTGAACAACCACTGAAAGCAAATTTCTCAGGTTAGTAATTACAGTTAGTAATTACTACAGTGCAATTTAAATACTCCTACCACATTTAAAGCAGCCAATGTGATGTCACTATGTAGCTGGGAACAGAAGCTCAGGATGTATTGTATCCACATACAACACTAGACCAAAAAAAAAAAGACACTCGTATGGAAAAATGCAGCAATGCCATTATGATGAGATGAGTATTGACATTTAAAATATAATGTATTAATTATACATTCATATAATTTAATTTTAGCAATAGCTTTATGCAACAACCACATCACTAGAAGCTTCTGTCCTTTGTGTTCAAGGATACCTCTCTGACAATATCCCCCTTCTTTCTTGTATCATCAGCATTTGCTTCTACTGGGTCATTTCAACCAGCACATAAGTACATTGTGATTTCTTTCACATAAATATGACATATATAAAAGATACATACATATATAATCTTTCTCCTCCTCAGAATTGTGACCTATAACCTCTTGTATCCATTCCAACCAGTTTTGGCCTCCAACTCCCCACTGAATTCCTTAGTCAAGGTCATCAAATTGCTAAATCCAATAGTTAATTTTTAATCCTCATTTTACCACAGTTACAAGCAGCATTTCCTTGAAATATTGAGTGAGGACTGAGGTAAAGAATCGAGTGCCAAACTCCCACGCATGTTCAGTACATCCCCAAACCTTCCTTATAGGAAAAGCAGTGCCTGGGAGCCTATGCAGACCCACAAAGGAAAGGGATTTGCTTGTCAGAGTTTATGGTGGTGTTCAGGATCAGAGAATGATACTCCCTCTGGTCATTTTTTGGCATCTTAAGGAATATGAAGGAAATTAGAAGTTCATAGAAGCAGGCTTAGTGTCACACACCATGGTGAATGCCTGTAGTCCCTGCTACTTTGGAAGTTTAAGCAGGAGGATCTCAAGTTCCAGTTCAAACTTAAAGCATGTTGGGGATCTAGCCCAGCAGCAGAGCTCTTGCCTGACCCACGTAAAGCCCGGGGTTCAGTCCTCAGTGCTGATGCCCCACTGCACCATCCCTGCTCCACAAAGTGGCAAAGAGAACATGTAGACTCAGCATCAACATCATGCTTTCCTGTAAAGTTTGGAAAAGACACAGAGACATCAGAGAGACACAGTTGCCTCCAGTTCCTGCCCTGAGCTTTTGTTAACCCAGCTCATGTAGCAGAAAAACGCTGTGCTATGTTAGTTCCCCTGAATAGTCTTCTGTTGCACACCAATGCACCATTTCATTCACTATTCTAAAAAGAATCATTTAAAATCCATTGTCTGCTCTGTAGGCCTAGTGAACTTTGACCTAGGCCACTGCATGCTTCTCTGAGCCCACTGAATCCTAAAAACACTTTACACTGCCTGTTCTCTTCCTCCCCTATGGAAAAGTAGTATATGCTCCTGAAGCATTTTGGGCTAGTGGGTGATCACAATGCTGTGATAGTTTTCCTCCTTTTGCATGCTAGTAAATTTGTGTGCCTCTTCTCTTTTTAAATTGATTTTATGGGCACACTTCTGACACACAGAGTGATCACATTCATTATAGGGAATATGTGTCTGTACATACTATATGCATATACTCTCATTCTTCTCCCTTGTCTTCAATCCTGTTTTCGCCTCACTCTTTCCAAGCTCTGCATTTCATTTTTCTTGATGCTATTATGAAAGATGTTATTTCTCTAATTTCTCCCTCAGTGAGTTTGTTATTTGTGTACAGGATTGATTTTTAGGCATTGATTTTGTGTCCTGCTACTGAATTTGGTTATTAAATCTAGTGGTCTTTTGGTGGAATTTTCTTTGGAGGAATTCTATGTAGAGTGCCACAACATCTGAAAATATTAATAATTTAATTTCTTCCTTTCTTTTCCTTATTCCATTTATTTTTTTTCTCTTGTCTAATTGCTCTTGCTAATGCTTCCAGAGCTATTTTGAACAGTAATGGTGATAGCGAACGTCTTTTTCCCTGGTTTTAGAGTAAATGCTTTCAGTTTTTGACCACTGAGCATAATGTTGGTTGTTAGTGTGTAATAGAGGCCTTCTATCAAATTGAGATAAACACCTTCTAAGATTCTAGTTTTCTGGAGTGTTTTTAATCATGAATGGGAGTTGGACTTTGTCAAATGCTTTTTCTGTATCTATTGGTATACCTGTGTGGGTTTTTGTCCTTGTTTCTGTTAATGTGGCATATTACACTTATTGATTTGTGTGTGTTGAACCAGCCCTGCAACTCTGGGATGAATCCTACCTGGTCATGGTGAATGATCTTCTTGATGACTTGCTGCATCCTGTTTGGCAGTATCTCACTGAGAATGTTTGCATCTCTGTTCACTGGGGAGACTGGCCTGTAGTTCTCTTTTGGGCTAGATCCTTCTCTGGTTCTCGTGTCAGGGTAGTGTTTACTTCTAAGAATGAGTTTGGGAGTATTAATTCTGTCTTAGTTACTCTTCTCTCATTGCTGGGACAAATACCCGACACTCAAAATGAAGGAAGGAAAGGTTTATTTAGCTCACAGTTACTGGAGGTTTCAGTCCATACTCAGCTGGGTCCAACGCAGAGCAGCACAGAGCAGAAAGCAACCTTTCATGGTGGTGACAAAGAGCAAGAGTGCAAGGGAGGGGTAGCAGCAGCTCAAGCAGCTAGCTTCTCTTCCCACCTTACATTGTAATGCAAATTACCTGCCCCAGGGTAGGGGAAGTACACCTATGGGTAATCCCAGCAGTACTAAAACCCATAATCCCAGCCTTGGATCACACATAATCCTAGTGGATCATGAGTTAACACACACTCTAGAAGTCCTCACCCCATGACTGCATGAGGCTTTGGGGGGACAACTAGACACAAACCATAACAGCTTCCCTTTCAATTTTATTAAAGAGTTTGAGGAATACTGGTATTATATATACTCTAAAGATCTTGTAAACTTCAGCAACTCAGTCCAATCTTTTAGGACTTGGGCTTTTCTTTGTTGGTTGTTTTTTAATTACTTATTTAGTTTCATTAACTTAGGTTATTTAGAATTTTTATTTTTCTTGATTTGACCTTGATAATTTATTTCTAGGATTTCATCTGAGTTTTGGTCTTATTTAGAG